TTTTAATATAATAAAAAATTCAATAACGTTTAGATTTAGCCTATATAAATTAATTTTGAATTGCTGAGGTTAATCAGGAATTTTTTTTTTGTCAAATATTGAAATTTTTTCCTTTCTTTCGAACCGTCTGAATTTTTTCGATTCCCTTTTTTTTAATTTTCGTTTTTTTTTCTTGAACCGATCTTTTACTTTCAGTTCTTTCTTTTCTTTCAAATTTCTTCTTTTCTCTTTCGAAACACCTTTTTCTTTTCCATTTTTTAAAATTTTCATTTTTTTTCCTATTTTTTTTCATTCTTTCCCCGTTTAGATTTACATTATTTTTTTTCGGTCTTTGTTTTTAGACCGTATTATAAATTTTTTTTTGAATTTTTTTTTTCCGGTGTTTTTGGACCGAATTATTGTCTAAATTTTTTCAAAATTTTTTTCGGTACTTTTTTTTTCGGATTCTCTTTTTTTCGAAAAAAACTAACTAAATTCCTTATTTGAAAAATTATTTTATAAATGGCAAGTTATTTATTTAATTCTATTATTACTTATTTATATAATATTTGCATATAATTTAAACTAACTAAATTCTTTATTTAAAAAATAATTAATAATTTTAGTTTGTAAGTTATTTATTTAATTCTATTATTATTTATTTATATAATATTTAAACTAACTAAATTCTTTATTTAAATAATTATTTTATAGATAGCAAGTTATTTACTTAATTCTATTATTACTTTTTCATATTTTAAACAAATTAAATTTTTATTTAAAAAATTATTTTATAGATCGTAAGTTATTTATTCAATCCTATTATTGCTTATTCATATAATATTTACATATAATTTAAACTAACTAAATTTCTTTATTTAAAAAGTATGTGGAAGATCATATCACTGCAACGAAAATTATGAAAAAATATTTAAGAGAACGTAAATTTATTGTTTTTAACTTGACAATAGAGGTGCAAACTTTACCAACGTAACTGCCGTATCAAAGTCACGTCAATAACGTCACTGCAGATGCACATAGAAATTTTATAATAATTTATATAATATCGAGCTATGTCACGAGTTACAACCTTTCATTGACTTAATGAGTAACGTAGCTAATAAAGAAAAAGTCTGCACCCCTACTTGACAAGGCCTGAATCCAATAAATTAGCTGTTAGGTAAGGTGGAATACGCCATTGGACCTTACCGGTGAGAAATACCCGAGCTAAGTAGACCATTGGTCGTGTCCTGAACTAGTTTCACGAAAAATGAATTTTTTTATTTTATAGGCATAATAAATTAATAACATAATGTATAATGATTACAAAACTTTTTATAGTAACATCATGGACGTAACTTCATACAATTTTGACGTATGACGTAATTAAAAAATAATCAAATCATTAAAATAAATAAGAATATTAAATAAATTAGCATATTTTTTATTATTCATATATAATTAAAAATAATAACAATTACTGCTTCTTTTAATTAACAGCATTATTTAACATTTTTCTATATGCAATTTTACTATTACTATTTACTAGTATATAAACGAAGGATATAAATTCATAATGATAGCAGGTAAACAATTTACTCTAATCTAGTATTTAAAACATTATCAACTAATGTATGTCAATAGGATCAAATTCCATATTATTTTTAACTTAGTATTAGGTATATTTAGTTCTTCACGCAATCCATTTTCTCCATCCTGAAAGATTGGATTTTGTAGATCTATAAAATCTTCTAAAATTATAGTAAATTTCGAAACTTAAAAGCAGTTTTCAAATAAAAAATAAAAATAAAAAGTTTATATTATTTATATTAAGTATATTAAATTTAACAAATGTTTATTATATGTATAAAGTAAAAAATTTAAAAGTAATTACGTCAAAAGTTTATGTAAAGTCTAAAAATCTAAAAAATCCATATGGCACATGTCATTTATGGCGTCATACGACAATGTGACGCTACTGACGGGACACCCCATTCAGGTGATCATCAAAGGTTATAACCTTACGATTTATGTCACAAATGCATAGGTTATAACCTTATATGGGCGGCCCATGGGCCATAATTTAATGTCACGTGACCCAATTTTTAATTCTGGCCTGACATGCGCAATTTTGGCATGTTAATTTTGGAACACGTTACATGCGCTAATTACTGTACATATTACCCAGATGTAACATGCGGTGATTCAGACGCATGTTATTCATCTGTAACATGCGATAAATTGGGCGCATGTTACCTATCTGTAACATGCAGTGATTCAGACGCATGTTACGGATGGGTAATATGCGTTAATTCTGGCGCATGTTACTCATTCATAACATGCGCTAATTTGGGCGCATGTTACGCTTCTGTAA